TTTAGTGAAACAGTTACTCTGTAACAATGCTGTGTCTACATCATCAGCGCTTTAGTGAAACAGTTACTCTAACACATGCTGTGTCTACATCATCAGCACTTTAGCGAAACAGTTACTCTGTAACACATGCTGTATCTACGTCATCAGTGCTTTTAGGAAATAGTTACTCAGGTAACAGTGCTGTATCTACATCATCAGTGCTTTTGTGAAATAGTTACTCTTGGTAAAGTGCCACAAAACAATCTTCTTGGATTTAAGTATTAACCCATTCCCAGCAGTTTTTTAGTATGTTAAGAACATGCAAAGTTGACAGATGACTTTTGATATATTTATTTTTAAATATAAATTCTTTCCCATCATTATAAACAAGTTTGTCCCTTATTCAAGAATCATGCATAGAGGCTGCTTGCACATGTACAGAACTATTCTGTACACAGCAGACTTTCTTTCCTGGCTGTGATAAACACGAACAGTGCTACATTTTCCCAAGTGCCTTCTAGGGGACAGTGATGCTCTCCTCACGGAGAATCACTTCTGTGTATTACATAGAGGGAAGACTTCTCGTGCAAACCACAGAGACCTTTTTCTGTCAGTTGTGGTGTTGCTTCTTGCTTTTCCTTCCTGTTCCGTTTTCAGTGTCTTTAGTATTGTCTTAGTGATGTCATGACTCCTGCTATGTAAGCTGCGTGTAGAAGCTAAAAATTTGAAGAGTGCTCTCCTGAGAAGATCTCTGAATTTATGGGTTTCTAATTAGGTATCTGTTACAGTTTCTCCCTATGAGTTGCGGCTGTTTTGCTAAAATGAAATCTGTTAGAGAGAAATCCTTTCTCTTACTCTGGATGGATTGTACTGGAAACTTAATTGAGGCCAAAAAACATTTCCCGACATCTGTTACCCTAAAGTCGTATACAAAATCCAAACATATATAGAGATGGATTCAGTAAAACTAGGTTACAAATAATAATACATTTTCACATGGGGGAAAGGAGTGGTTTCTTTGGGAGTCAAGAAGTTTTCTTCAGGAAGTGTTTGCTATGGGAGGTAAATAATACATGGAAGTAGTAAAGTGTGGCTGGTTCCCAAGTGTTACAGTTGTGTATGCTAACGTTTCCTTTTACTAGAGAAGGCTTTAGTTTTGTATTTTTCTGTATTAAGTCATTGACTCTGGTGATGACAGGGTGTAACATTAAACAGTAGTGCTTCCCTTGTTATGTTCTGTCAGGCATAGTAACTCGGTAATGGTAGGTAATACCAGAATTTCCCATATTCACTCATGCAAGTACCTAGATGTTTCCTTCACCTCGTCCCACTGTTTCTCCTAGTGTGACTAAGTCACATGGTAGCATATAAAGTGCCAGTTTATTGCAGGGAATAGTTCTGAAGACTGTGTTGATAGTTGCTTTAACTTAACAAACACATTGGAATTTTTTGGTAAAGTGTAGTTGGTAAGATCTTCTATTGTTGCCCATCAAAATTCTTCAAAGACCTCGAAAGAACAGTACTCAACTTCATTTGGAAAAGCAAAAAACCCAGGATAGCTAAAACAATCCTGTGCAATAAAAGAACTTCTGGAGGCATCACAATCCCTGACTTCAAACTCTACTACAGAGCTACACTACTGAAAACAGCCTGGTATTGGCGTAAGAACAGACAGGAGGACCAATGGAACCGAATAGAAGACCCAGATATCAATCCACACATATTCGAACACCTGATTTTTGATAAAGAAGTAAAAAAATATCAAATGGAAAAAAAGAAAGCACGCTTAACAAGTGATGCTGGCATAACTGGATACCAACATGTAGAAAACTGAAAATAGACCCATATCTATCACCATGCACAAAACTCAAGTTCAAATGGATCAAAGACCTCAACATAAAGCCAGCCACACTGAACCTTATAGAAGAGAAAGTGAGAAATACACTTGAATGTATTGGCACATGGGACCACTTCCTAAATAGAACCCCAGCAGCACAGATAATGAGAGAAACAATGAATAAATGGGACCTCCTGAAACTGAAAAGCTTCTGTAAAGCAAAGGACATGGTCAACAAGACAAAATGACAGCCTATAGAATGGGAAAAGATCTTCACCAATCCCACATCAGACAGAGGTCTGATCTCAAAAATATACAAAGAACTCAAGAAATTAGACACCAAAAGGTCACATAATCTAATAAAAAAAAATGGGTACAGACCTAAACAGAGAACTCTCAACACAGGAATCCAAAATGGCTGAAAGACACTTAAGGAAATATTCAACATCCTTAGTCGTCAGAGAAATGCAAATCAAAACAACTCTGAGATTCCATCTTCCACCTCTAAGAATGGCCAAGATCAAAAACACTGATGACAACTTATGCTGGAGAGTTGTGGGGAAAAGGGAACACTTCTGCATTGCTGGTGGGAATGCAAGCTCGTACAACCCCTTTGGATGTCAGTGTGGAGATGTCTCAGAAAATTAGGAAACAACCTTCCTCAAGATCCAGTAATATCACTTTTGGATATATATCCAAAGGATGCTCAATAGTGCCACAAGGACATTTGCTCAACTATGTTCATAGCAGCATTGTTTGTCATAGCCAGAACCTGGAAACAATCTAAATGCCTCTCGACCGAAGAATGGATAAGAAAAATGTGGTACATTTACACAATGGAGTCCTACACAGCAGAAAAAAATAACAGCTTGAATTTTGCAGGAAAACGAATGGAACTAGAAAACATCATTTTGAGCGAGGTAATCCAGACCCAGAAAGACAATTATCACATGTACTCACTCATAGGTGATTTTTAAACATAAAGAAAACCAGCCTACAAACCACAATCCCAGAGAACTTAGACAACAATGTGGACACTAAGAGAGACTTACATAGATCTAATCTACATGGGAAGTAGAAAGTAGAAAAGAACAAGATCTCCTGAGTAAATTGGGAGCATGGGGACTTTGGGAGAGAGTTGAAGGGGGGAGGGGAGCAGAGAAAAATGTAGAGCTCAGTAAATATCAATAAAATAAAAAAAATCCTCAGGAGGAAGAACCATTTAAAAAAAAAAGATCTGCTCTTGTTAGCCTATCCCGTACAAGATTAGGTGATGCCATTGCCATTATGTTTTGGCAGTGGCCTGTATATCAGGGAAATGTAGCAGATCAGTATGATTATATTTTTTGTTTTGGGTTAGATTTTCTTTCTTTTCTTTTTCCTTTTTCTTTTCTTTTTTCTTTTTCTTTTTCTTTTTCTTTTTCTTTTTCTTTTTTTTGAGATAAGGTTTTTCTGTGTAACCCTGGCTGTCCTGGAACTCACTCTATAGACCAGGCTGACCTCAAACTCATAGATCATCTGCCTCTCAGCCTTGTGCCACCATAACAAAGATTATCTTTAAGAATTACTAACAGTATCTTTTTTTTTTTTAACAGCCTTTTAGGTGTCCCTATTGCATATGATAACATCAGAGTTGTGGGTGAGCTGGGAGATATTTATGATGACCAAGGACACATTCATCTTAACATTGAAGCAGATTTTGTTATTTTCTGCCCTGAGCCAGGGCAGAAATTAATGGTATGTACATCATTGTTCTCACTTTGTTGATATGATCTTCTCTCTCTGTGCCCCTACCCTGACTACCACCCTTCTAACTCCCTAGTAGTCACTAGTCTTCTTGCAGGTTACTTTTAAAAATGGAATTTAGTGTCCACAGCGATGAAAACCTGCACTGGTCTTTAGGTGCCTGGTTTATTTCTCTAACGTGATGCTCTTCCGTTCTCTTCACTGCTGCACGCTGCAGAATTCCTCCTCCTGTGTGGATATTTGTTTCACAGTGCTGTGTGTGCAGACCGTAACTGTGCATTCGTCCTTGACAGGCGTGAAGCTCGATCTGTGTCTTAACTATTGTGAGTAGTGTCATGTAAACGTGGGTGCACAGGCGCTTCTGCTCTGGGTAGATTTTATTTCTCCAGGATTGTTGTGCTCATCTGGTGGCACACCACCTTTTGATTTTAAGAGTGTACATCCTGCTTCCCATAATGTCTGTCCGTTTACATTCACACCAGGAGCTTGTATGGTTCTTTCTCTCACATCTTTCTAGGACATAATTTTTGCTGTTATTCACTGTTGTAGGCGGAGTTTTGAGTCGTTTTCTTGTTGCTTTAACAAAATACTTGACAGAAACAGCTTGAGGGAGGAAAGGTTTTGTTCTGTTCCTGCTTTTCTTGACATGGATGTCTAGGGCACAGTTTTCATCCTGCTGGGCCAAGAAGCAGAGAAGGGAATACTGGTACCTAGTTAGATTTCTGTTTTTCTCCTTTTATTTCTCTCTGGGCCTGGGCCCTGGCCCTGGCCCTGGCCCTGGCTCTGGTTCTGCTCATATTCAGGGCTGTTTTTCGTAGGTTTGTTAGTCTTTTTGGAAACCGTCTCATAGACACACTTAGTACTGTCCTACAGTCTACGGTTTTGACAGTGAAGGTTAGCTGTGGTGGAAATCTCACTGAAATTGTGATTTGGTTTCCCTTGACAGCATTTATTGGCTCTTTCTGCTTCTTCTTGTGTGTCTAATCCGACCAGTTGCCCCTTTTTAATTGACTTACTTTTTTTTGTTGTTCTTTGTTCTTTATATTCTGGGTATTATCTTATTACCTGTCGGTCACATTAGTAACTGGCAAACACTTTTCTGTCTTGCATGCTGCCTCTTTAACTCTGAACTGTTTCTTTGCTGTGCAGAAGAATTTTAGTTTTCTGTAATCTCTCTTGAATTGCAGTTAGTGTAAGTGTTCTGCTTTGTTTCCTGTGCTTGGTTATTCTGTATTTAAAACCATTGTCTGTATTTTTTGCGTAGCATTAAGGTCTTCCATCCATTTGGAGTTGTTTTTGGGCAGTTCTCAAGGTCACTCTTAATGTGAATATCCAATGTTGCCAGGACCACGCGGAGAGACGCTTCTTGGCACCTTGGTATCAGTCGGTTGCAATGCCTGCGTTGATTTTCTGGTTCTCTGTTTGCCTTCAGACTGTGTATCTGTTTTGTTTTCTGACTCAGTGAAGAGCATTATTGTTTGGATATCACATTGTTGACTGCTTTTTGCAGTGTGGTCATTCTGACAGTACTGGGTCCTCCACATTTGGACTCGGGGTACCTTTTGTGTTGTTGTCTCTACTTTCCTTCAGTGGATTTTGATTTACATTGTAGAGGTCTTAATGAAGTCTGGTACTGATAGTTTATTTTTGGTGTGGAGCTATTATGAATAGGGTTAATTTTATTATTGCTCATCTAATTTAGTCTATATAGAAAAGCGACTACTGTTTGTGTGTTTGTTTTTATATTTATTATTGAATTCATTGTCAGTTCTAAAACTTTTTGGTTTATTTTGGCTCACAGTTGGGAAGTTTTAGTTCATACGGTAGAGAAGGCGCTGTAGAGAGGCTCTGTGTGGTGGTAGATCAGAACGTTGGTACCGGACTGGACAGTGTTGGGCTCAGTTCAGAATCCCACCCTGGAGATGGACAAGTGGGCGCCATCTTCATAGATTTTTAATGATTTTTCATCTATGTCCTGCACTGTTTTTAGATTTATTTAATTATTGATGTTTTTTGTTCCTGCTGAGCTTTATAAAAATCAATTTATTGGGATTTTTTTTATGAGGCATTCATTTCATCTATTTTGAAATTTTGGAATCATTTGCTGTAGTTATATCTGTGGAAGGTGTCGTTGCTTTGCTCTCGTGTGTTTTGTATACCTACTTTGGCATTTGTGCGTCTGTTATAACATGTCCACCCTTTTATCAGGTGGTCTGCTTGATAAATAGAAGAGGATCTTAGGAGACGGGTTTGTTAGGTTATTTCTGTTGAGCAGTGGTATGGATCCTACAGGTTGCTTTGGTTGTGATTAGTGAGTTTGGGCACAGGGTGGGCACACTGTATCATTTGAAGATGACCGCTTTCTGCCCCAGCGTCCTTGCTGTTATTGTCGGGATGCCTCCTTCCCATATCTCTGGTCACTCTGCTCTCTCTCTCACTTGTATGTGTGTGCGAGCGCTTGCACACATACACACACATGCACTCATGCACTCACACACACGAGATTCATAAGGGTTATTGTAGGAGCATGGTTATGTACAGGGACACGACTACTTTACCAGAGGCTGCACTACTGCAGAACTCCCAGCCTTCTGCAGCAACCATTATCGGATCCTTGGGGAGGAGTTGAGGCCTTGTAAGCTCCTTCCTCCTGTGACGGGATGCTGACAGGCCCTCTCTTACACAGATCTGTGTAAGTCGTCATGGCTCCTGTGGCTTCCGGAGTGCAGGAGCCATATTATGCTTAGAAGACAACAGTCTATAATTCTCTACCCCTTCCTTTAGCCTTTGCGTTCTTTCCTGAGTCTTGGAGGGGGTATAGGTGTCTCACTTCTGGCTGAGCAGTCGGCAGGCACTGTTCTCACCACTGCCCGGTTAACAGTCCCTGCTGTTGAAGCTGGCTCGCTGCAAAAAGGAACTTCCCTGACACGCCAACAGCAGCACTGATCTATGAGGATACCACAGCTCTTTAGAAGGCTACGTCATGTTTATTTAACAAAACAGGAGTAGTGGTTTCACCATTAGGGCTGTGACCTCCCCAGCCATGAACTTTTGGCCAGAATTACCATACTAGGTATGAATTCCCACTTGTTGGACAAGCCTCAATTTCAGGCATAGGGTAGTTGGTCACCCACTATTGTACTGGTGCACATATCAGTAGACACTTGGTACAGTTCCCCCAGAAGCCTGCATAGGGTTAGCCGGGGAAGCCTCCAGTTCAGCCCAAGTTTCGTGTCTCTGCCCTGCTACCAGAGCATGTTGGTCACCAGCAATAGGGGTCTTACTGTCTAATTCTGGTAGAAGACTAACAACAGCAACAATCGTATGTGTTATTTCAGGGAGAGGGGAGGTATCTCAGCTGCTTCTGGAACCAACTTGGATTTCTGGGAGAACTTCATGTTGTTCTTGTGCTGGGAGAGGTGGTGGACTGATGGGCAGGGAATGGATCCTGATGGCACGCCTCGAGTCCTAGGGCAGACACCATGTGGGTCTGGTTCCAGGCTGGGTGGTATAGGGATGGGAGTGACTATATTGTTAATTTTTTTTTTTTTTTGCATGAGCTTTTTAAGTAAGTTTACTTTGCCTTAGTGGTCCTTTGAGCTCACTTAACTCTTTCTTCTACTTGATCTGTCTTTCTCCTAATGCCTTTACAGATGTCTCTGATATGTTTTAAATTTTACTGTGTGTAGTTTTACAATCTAAAGTTGCTTTTATCTCTAAGTATCTCAGCGTTTTCTTGAAGCATAGAATTTCCCTTCAAATCCTGCTTTAAATTCCCTTGTTCCCAAATGGTGACGAGTACCTGGTCAGATTCTTGACACTGTAGTTTGAGCACTCAGTAGAGCTCTTGGTGTTTGTTGGCATGTGGTGTTTAATCCCGCTCCCTGAGCACTGCGCTTCATCCAGACCTGTGATGATCACTGCTGTTTCGGAGCTGATGGCCCTGTCCAGGCTGGCATGAGCCTGATGCCAGTGTGTTGTCACTGCCTCAGTAGCGAGGGCCGTTCAAGCCAGGTGTTCCAGATGTTCTAACAGTGTCTTATTCATCAAGAAACAGAGACTCTCTAAAGCATAGTCTGTTTCTAGAAGTGTGTGCTGGGACTAGAACGAGATTCAGTGTCTCCTGTACAATAACAGGCCTGTGGTCAGCTAAGCAGATTGACTGTGGATGGATCTGCCCCAGGTTCTTCAGTCATCTTTGTGGCCATCAAAGCCAACAGACTCTCTCTCTCTATATCATACCATGAGTCCAGGACCAACATTTTTATGAGTGGCCTACTGTTATGGTGGATTCATGATCTGACATTGCCACAGCCGACCACAGGTGATGCCATGTTGGTGCAGACCCAGTGGACTGCCTCATGTTTGTTTTTGTCACTGGAGCTGATCTGTGTAGTCTCTGCACAGGCCAGCCCCCAGGGGCTGTTGGGACAGGTACAGTATTAGCTTTCTGCAGTCCAATGTTTACTACCTTTGCCTTTTTCCAGCAAATATGGTTTTGTATCATTCTGTGCTGCCCAAGATTAGGGGAGTGTTAGTGAAGGCAGCTTGGCCAACTGTACTGGTACTGTCATGAGTCATACCCGAACCTCAGAACCACAGGGATTGAAGTGTACTACAGCTAGAGAGGATGCAGGTGTACTAAACACAGGTCTCACAAAGGGGCACCATTTTTTGCTTGGAGATTCATCTGTGAGCCCTGTCCTGGCAGTATTGTGCCACCTGCATTAGGAGTCATTCAGTCCATTGACGTCATAGCTGTGCTAAGCGGGACCTTGCACATAGCTTTGACAGATGCAGGCACTTGCACACAGTCACCGGAAGAGAATGGGAGTTCCCCAGACCTACAGCAGCTAAAACAGCTGAACCTTAGGTCCGTGCACCAGGCGTGCAGGTCTCCTGTTGTAGGCTGGTATCTGTAGGCTTACCCTGTGCCGTGTTCTGAAAGCGCAGGCCTGTCACTGGGTTCTGAGGGCTCTGTGCTGCCATTCATGTCTTGCTCTTCATTTGCCGGCTTGGTTGGTTTAGTAAATACTGCATGTTGGTCACAGTTTCAGCAGCTCACTTCTGGGAGTACTAGCCTGAATTCCAGAGGGGGCTGTGGGACTTTGCCCAGCACTGAGCTTCACTGTGACAGGCTTAGCACAAGGTTTAAAGTAAGCACACCCACTAGTCAGTTAGCTGGTCCCTTTATTCTCATTTGGTGGTCTGGTTTATGAACAGCCATCTGTAGGGAGAGATTGCCAGAGAATCTTAATCGGCTACCAGCTTTTTCCAGAGCTCACATTAGAGTCAGTCCTTAGGTTTTCACAAGTTTACTATCCTGTCTGTTAATGCCGTGCAGAACACTTGGCCTGCCTGGAGTTTCCTCACTGTTCACATCAGTTCCTGTCAGCCAGTGTGATCTTTTTACTATCCCACGGTTTTCCTTTTTCTGAGATGCTAAAAACTTAAAATTATATCTATTAGTTGTGCATGCACCTGCCACCGTACGCAACAGCCCGTTGTTTCCTTTCAGCACTTGGGTCATCAACCTGTGCTGACTAAACTATCTTAGCAGCCATATGAGATAGTTACCCCTGAAGCAAGTATTCTTTTCAGATCGGCTTCCTCATTTAGCTGTGTACATATGAGATTCTTTTCTTTGTGTCTAAAACTTGATACCTTGTTCTCTCTCTCTCTCTCTCTCTCTCTCTCTCTCTCTCTCTCTTTCTCTCTCCCTCTCTCTCCCTCTCTTCCCTCCCTCCCTCTCCCTCTCCCTCTCCCTCTAAATGTTGAGAAATGAATACCTCCTTGTGTCACTGTACTGTGGTTTGTTTTGTTTAGAGAGACCATCAGAAGGGTGGCACCATCAGATACCTGGTCAGGACAGATAAGAAAGCATGCATGTTCACCTTGTTTTGTGTTCTATGTTTCAGAAAATGCTTCTTTAAAACAATATTGTAGGGTTTTCATTCATATACTTCATGCATGTTGATTCCTGAAGGAAAATAGAAACTAAACTTCATGGAAAGCTACCTTTTTTTAATCTTAAAGTCATAAAGTACCTTAAGTTTTTTTGATTTAGTCAAGAATCTGTGTTCCAGGTTGATAAAGAATAAACCTAATAAGACTGTTTATATCATGTTAATTTGAATTAGTAAACTATGTAATCATGTGCTTTGAAGTTCAGTCTGTTTAGAGAAATGCTAATCTGTACCCACTTGCATACTTCTTGCCTTGTGCTTTTCACAGATTACATATGCCATCACGGTGCGTTCTCTTG